GCATTTACTTTTGTTCTCCTGAAACCCAACAAAACACCAGCAAAGGGATTAAAACTTTTAAAAAGGTATAGACCCACAAAAAGAAAGAAAACAGGAAAGGAAACCTAAATATAAGAAAGTAAATGGACAGTGATTTAGCAGACCTGGGGAAACTGGATCATAAATCAGAAGTGGGAAACAAGTTATACCAAAGAACCCCAAGAACTAGTAGCGCTGTGTACCTCTGGCAATGGGGATGAAGGTAAGACCCACAGGATGGGCTGGAAGTCTGTTTCAGAAGGCTCTGAACCCTCAGTTCCCCTCCTTCTCTGTGAGTGGTTTTGAGCCTTTTCCTTGACCTCACCCTGGCAGAAGGGTACATAGAGGGTCTGTGGGCCAGGGAACATTAGGCATAGGTGAGAATGAGGCTACCCTTCAGAAAACAGCAGCCTGAACAAATGTTTGTAGGCCCCGTGCTAACAGCCCCCTCCCCCAGCCGTCTTTTCCCTGGTTCCCAGAAAGCTGGCAGCCAGGCGCGTGGCCTACAGGAAGATGATAGCACACTCCTTCTCTGGAGAATCTGACAAGCCCAAAGGAGAGAGAACCAAAGACACTGACCCCACAGTCCCCCAATTCACCCCATAGAGAATCCCACATATCTACAAGCACACCCAGACTTCTAAGCAGCTAGCTAATGCCCCACTCTTAGCTATGGTCAGACACTCAGGGATCACCAGACACCTGCGGGAAGCCCCTGACATAAAACAGAGCCCAAACAAGCAAGAACGAAATAACTTGGAGGGTAGAAGAGAATCTTCTGGGAGAAGGACTTTTTTTTTTAAAAGATAAGTAATATCCTCAAAGAGTTAAGAGGGAATATTCCAACCACAAGCCAAGAATGTCATTTCTTAAAAAGTAATATTCAGGGGGCGCCTGGGTGGTTCAGTCGGTTGACTGTCTGACTTCGGCTCAAGTCATGATCTCACAGTTTGTGAGTTTGAGCCCCACATTGGGCTCTGTGCTGACAGCTCAGAGCCTGGAGCCTGCTTCAGATTCTGCGTCTCCCTCTTTCTCTGCCCCACCCCCGCTCACACTCTGTCTCTCTCTCTCTCTCTCTCTCTCTCTCTCAAAAATAAATAAAACACACACACAAAAAAATTTACATGATAGTGGAAATGAAAAAAATCAATTGAAGGATTGGAAGATAAAGTTGCATAAATTGCACAGAAAAGAAAGCAAAAAGACAAAAAGATAGAAATTAGGAAAAAACATTAAAATAGTAAGAAGACTGATCCTAACTGTCCATTATCTAAAAAACAGATCTAGAAAGAGCAGACAGAGAACACAGAAGGGAACAAGCCATTAATTAAATAATTCAAGAAAATACTCTTCAAATGAAGGTAATGAGTTTCAGACTGAAAAGGCCACAAATGCTTGTAGACTAGAGGAGACAAACACAGACAGAAAACATAAGTCAAACAGTATGCAAAATGGTACTGCTAAGAAAAGGAAAGCAGGGAAGGGGATCAGGAATGCTGGGGGTGCAGTGGGAGGGACAGTGGTTTTAAGTAAGTCAGAGAAGGCCTCCCAGAGAGGGTGATGTTGGAGGAAAGATCTCAAGTGGAGGGGAGGTGAGACGAGCCATGGGCTGGGGGCGGGCAGGGGGGAAGCACTCCAGGCAGAGAAGTACAAATGTTGAAGGCCAGAGCATGCCTGGCACATCCATCCAGAGAACAGAGAAGAGGCCACAGAGGCTGGAGCCATGTGACTAGGTGGAGAGTGAGGGCAGAGGGCAGAGAGGTAGGGTGTACTGGGGCGGGGGGTGGGGGGTACGATGGGGGTAGGGATCATCACAAAGACTTAAGACTTTGGCTTTTACTTTGTGTGAGAAGGGGACGGGTTTTCAACATAGCATAAGACACAGTCTGAAGTCATCTGATGTATTTTTCTAAAGGATCACTCCAGTTGCGACAGTAAGGAACTGGGCAGGGGAAGAATAAAAAGCAAGGAGCCCAGCTAGGAGGCTACCTCAATAATCTAAGTGAAAGATGACAATGGGTTAGACTGGGTGCCAGCACTGGAGGTGGTGGGAGGTGACTAAAGTTTGGATATATTTGGAAGATAGAATAGGATTTGCTAACAGATTAGGTACAGGATGTATGCGACAGAGAGGAGCTCAGGTTTTTGGCCAGAGTAGCTATTTACTATAAATGTGCCAGGTTTGGGCAGGATGCACAGGAAAAGCTGTAAAAAATCAGGAGTTTGGCTCTTTATTTTTTTAAGTTTTATTTATTTAAATAATCTTTACACCAAACATGGGGTTCAAACTCACAACGCTGAGATCAAGAATCACACACTCTATTGACTGAGCCAGCCAGGTGCCCCAGGGGTTTGGTTTTGAACATGTTAAGTTTGAAGAGCCTGTTAGAAATTAAGGAAGATGTTAAAATGCAGGTTAAGTGAGACTGGAGAGATCAATTTGGAAGTCATTAGCATATGGCTGGTATTTAAAGCCATGAGGATATCCCATGGAGTGACTGGATACAGAGAAGAGGCTGGAGTACTGAGTCTTGGGACCCTCCAAAGATGAAGAAGAGGAGGCCCTGACAAGAACTATTTCAGTAGAGTGGCAGAAGTTAAAACCTGAACAGATCCAGTCTACAAGAACAGGTGGAGAAGAAGAAATAGCAAAGCATAAACAAGTACAACACTTTTAAGGAGATTTATCATAAAGGGGAGTCAAGATCTGGAATAGATGATGGAGAAGGAAACAGACTCAAAGCTTGTTGTTAAGATGGGGGATAGCACACCATGTTCACATGCGAAAACGATTCAGTAGAGATGGGGACTTTGACATTGTAAGGCAAAGGCAAGAGAATTTCTAGAACATCGTTTTCTGGTAGGCAAGAGCAGAAGGCATCTACTGGACAGAGAGGGACTGGCGAGAGCTGGGAGCCAGAACTGCATACCTGTGCTAAAAATAGAGAAAGAACCATACCTATAGGTGCACAGGTGAGAACCTGTGGATGTGCTCTTACTGCTTCCATTTTATCAGTGAAATGGGACGAAGAGCCATCGAAAAGAGAGAGATAGGGAGGCAGGTGGCATGGACTTAAGGATTAGAGAGAAGGTGTGAAATAATCCCCGAAGAGAATAAAAGAGTACAGGAACGAGAGCGATGTCATAGGATTGCTAGGCAGCCGGAAGGGCCCACTTGAGCCCGTTACACCGGTCGGTACTGGTTTCCAGTCGGCCATATAGAGCCACAAAGGTGATGTCACACAGTCAGTGAAAAATGTGGAATATATTTTTGAGGAAGTGAATATAAAAGACCATGGAATTTCAGGTGAATAAGAAAGGAAGGGAGACCACCAGAAGGATGAGCGACATTAAGTAAGTGGCAGGTGCCAGTAAGGTCAAGGAAGTACAAACAGCCCTAAATGAAAATCACCTCACAGCGATGATGAAGGGTCATCCAGAGAGGATTAAAATAGGTAGGTACAGTATCCCAGTCATCTCAAATGCTTTGCAAAAGGAGGGCTAGGGAAGAGTATAAAAAAATTGTATGTTATGCTTTCTACCCTTTGTTAAAAAAGAAAGAGAAGTATATGAACAATTTTTTAAAATATTTCATTCAGGGGCACCTGGGTGGCTCAATCCGTTGGGCAACTGGAGTCTTGATTTCAGCTCAGGCCGTGATCTCACCATGGGTGAGATGGAGCCCTGTATTGGGCTCAGTGCTGCCGGGGCAGAGCCTGCTTGGGATTCCCTCTCTCCTTCTCTCTGCCCCTCCCCTGCAAGCGTGCATGCTCTCTAAAAAATAAGTAAATAAACTTAAAAAAAAAAAAAAAAGGTTAAAAAATATTTCATTCAATAGGCTAAAATAAAGCACATTTTGTTGCTTGAAAAAAGAAAAAAAGGGGGGTTGCCTGGAAGACTCAGTCAGTTAAGTCAGTTAAGCATCTGACTCTTAAATTCGGCTCAGGTCATCATCCCACAGTGGTGAGATCAAGCCCCAAATGGGGCTCCAAGCTGAGTGTAGAGTTGCTTGGGATCTTCTCACCGTCTCCTCTGCCCCTCCCCTGCTCATTCTCACTCTCTCTCTCTTTCTCTCTCAAAAATAAATATATAATATAATATAATATAATCTTTAAAAAGCCCAGAAAATTAAAAAAAGGGTTATCAGAGTCAAAAGACTAGAGGGAGTAAGCTAAAAGAGCAGGGATGGTGAAAGGAATGCCATCTGCATCGCGGAGAAGGTACAGATGTTGCCGTCAAGTCTTGGGGTGGGATCCTGGTGGAGAATCACAAGGTGGGGCTGTAGAACAAGGTCAAAGGAGAAGATCCATGAACTGAGAAGCCACGTTTTAGAGGAACATTCAGGTAGACAATGAAATCACTAAGGATGATGAGTGTTGGAGAGAGAAATAGCAGGCCAGGAAGTAGATCCCTCTTAATAGGAGAGACATGGTGGGGACACAGCTCAACTGTGAGCAGGATACATAAAGTCACAATAATATGCAGACATATAGTCTTAACCATGTAAGTACCAAATGCAAGTCTGACCAGTATTTAAACTATATACTGGGAGCGGGAAGGCCAAGGGGAAGAAGCAGGAGAGAGCGGGGATGAGATAGGGGTGAAGGGAGGGGACTAAAAACATATCTTTTGTAATGCAGACTCAACAGACAATATCTAAAACTGAACAATCAAGAAGTAGCAATCCAAACAAGACATTTAGAGATATTCAAGTAAATAACAAAAATAGCAGCTAAAAGACCAAGACTGATTGCAGGGTGGAGGAAGTAGAGGTAGGACGGGGATATACTGATTTTAACTAACAAGCCTTGAAGACTACTAGACTCTTTATACTATGGTATATATAACTGATCAAAAATTAAAACGTTTAAAAAATTAAAGCTGAGTTGTTCAAAAGTGAATAATGATGCAACCTCTAACTAGGTGTTGTTATTCACCATCCCTGATTAATTAGATTCATAAGAGCAATCTAAAATACTCACAAACTCTTGTTTTCTCTCACAGGAAGGATGCCATCTTGTTAACTGATGCTTTTGACTTCACGGATCAGAGCTTAAACTCAGCACTTGGCTGTTACGATGGCAATGTCTATGAACGTCTATTCGAATGGGCTCAGAGGTCACCGACCAATACTCAGGTAGTTGAGTAGAACACATTATAAATTATTTAAGAGAGCAGAGAACAAGCAGTGAATACACTTCCATGTTTTCTCATTTTAATTGATTCCCATTAGGTTGGAAATTGCTTGGCATAGCACGTGTGTTTAAAAGAGAATACATAAAAGAAACCAAGAGTAGGGATGTGGTCTGGCAGGAACTCTGAGTCTGGACTGCAATCAGCAAAATGCATTGCTCAGAATTTGGTAAAGGGAATTAGGAGGAAGGCCCAAGCTCTAAATCGTGGCTTGACATACTCAAGAGCATATACACATAGTGGCAAACTAGCTTTTAAGTCACAAAAATAAGATAAATCATTGCAGTGATTTAGCTATCTTATTTTCAGCCTTTAACTCTGTTTTGTGGTGATAAAAATGGGTGATAGGAAACTTGGGGTGGGGAGATCGCTCTCACATCTGTCTGCTAGAGATGCCTCCTTCCTATCCATTCTGAGGAACACAATCCCAGGAACAAAGAAGGCTGCTGTACTGCCATCAGCAGCCCAGGAAAGCCATATAAACAATTACAAGGGTTATGGCAAAAAGATCCCCAGCTGTCTAAGAGAGAATACCAGAACTCTAGGTCATTAACAGAAGGGGAGGACTCATAAAATCCTAATAGTCTGGGGCCTGCGTCCCAGACTCTCTGCTGTAAGCCTCACTGGGAAAGGTTATGAATGTCAATGACTACAATAAGCAGAGTAAAGAAATAAACCCTATATTCAGAATTCAGTAACTAATACTTAATAGATTTGATACAGATGATCAAAATAATAGTCTATAGATACACAACAGATTATTTTAAGGTCTATGGTGCAAATAGGTTTTCAGATAGTGAGGCTTACTTTTTTACCCCTTAGGTCAAATTTCAAAAAAGGTGTCTTACTTAACACCTTATAAAATTGGCAACTCTCAGGCTTTCATTCACACTTAGCATGGTGTTAGACTTGCTCTTTGCATTTTGCATCCTGTCATACCTCATGGCTTAATTTAACACGATTATCTAAAGTTGTAACAGAACTGGTTACCTCCAAGAGGCTTGTCAGATAGAAGGCCAATCAATCCATTTTGGTCATTCCCTGTCTCCAAGAAGGCATCCTTTTAACTCAACAATATAAAGAACTTACCTAAAGAACATATGATACATTTACTTCTTAATACAGTTAATCTACTTGTGCTGTGTTACTTTTTCTAATAATTACATCTCCCTACTTTCTAATATTTAAATCGTGTCATAAAACGACAGCAGTCCTCCTACTCCAGATTAGCTCCTGTGGTCTAAGGATAAGTGTATGCTCTTTGGTGCTCCGGAGAAAAACTGACTGCTGTAACACCTGTCAGCAAATGCTGACGTATCTAGCTCAAACCTGCTTAACTAGCAACACAAGGAAATATGCCACTTCTTCTGATTCCTCATCTTCACTAAAGAACATAGGGAGCATTCTTATTTGTTTTACTTCCTTTCTAACCTTTATTTTAAAAGCATTTAATCTGGATACTATATGAGGGCAGGCTTACGTAAATGAGGGGCATGACTGGCCTACAGCATCAACAGATAAAACATTATGCACTTCATCCCATTCACTTTTCTCTTTTCCCTACCTCCTGCTACTTGACTGTGAACAGAATGGACTCTTCCTCTTCCTAACTCCAGGATCTAGCTCAGAGTAGACACTTTGCATTTATGGAATAAATGAACATAGTTTTATGACCCACACAGTAAGATGAAGGAACCTGCTGCACACACATTGCTACAGACTCTGACCATCTTGGCTTACATCACCTTGCTACAAAGGTGACAGGTACAGCAACGTGGCTCTTCCATGCACAGCAGTTTAGGAATGTGAGATTACAAATGACCTTGGGGAAATGTCTCCAGTTAGTTAAAATGAGTCAGTTGACTGCTAATATATATATATATAATCTTATGTTACTGGCTCCTCAAGAGTCCACCAAAATAGCACTTCAAGGTATATTTTTCTAATCTGCTATAATTTTGAAGCTGCAGTAAGAGACATTTTTCCTCATCTGCACTAGTAGAAAATGGCACACTGCAGGTATTTCAAATACATTAAAACAACAACTACGTTGAACCTGCCTTGGAGACACAAAAGTACAAACAGGAATATATTTCACTGATATTTTCTACCAAAAGAAAAGTGCTATGCTAAGTTAAATGTCTTAGAACCATAAGACAGTCTCTCTTCTAGCTGGGGCAGGTTGAGTGTTGAGCTTTATCCCTAGACAGAATGATGCGCTCTCTCATGGTTCACTCTAGCCATGGTGTGTTATTTGGCTTTCCCCCCCCCCCCAATCTGGATGCTATTTCAAGCCAGGTTCTCCAAAGTGAGCTACAAAAGGTTGTTCCTGCTCCGTACATGAACTCATATTTAAGTGATTCCCTATAGATACAAACAGTGCAGGAATCACTGGGGATATTTTCAAAACAAGAATCCTATTTCCCCCAATTATTCTGTTGTAAAAATGTGTCCAAGTAATTGCTAGATGCATTAAACATACTTACCGATTCATTCATTCAGTCATTCAACAAGTATTTGTTGAGCATATGCCACATGACAGAAACTATTCTTGGTACCAAGGCTACAGGGGAGAACAAAAAAGTCACAAACACCGTCTTCAATGAGGAGCTTAAAGTTTTTAGCCTAGACAAGCAAAAAAGTAAATAAACAATATAAAAGATGAAGCTAGAGCTGGGCAGGAAAGAATCAAGACATACATTAGAGAACAATGGGAGATAATGTGATCTGAGAGTACCTTGCCCACCTGGCTCCGCCTTCTGGCCCCTTGCTTTGTGGGTAAATGTTCAATTTCAAAGAACCTCAAAAAGTCAGGCATTTTATTTGTATTAAATTCCAAAAGCAAATGATAAGCTGTTTCTTAATTGGCCACCTGCATACAATTTAAAATCTGCATGAGAAAAGGAAGGATGCCCTTTGGAAAAAATGTTCCCCATATGTTCACACAAAATAGGTTTAAAAAATAATTTTTAAAATTAAGCATCTTATGTAATGTTACTTTTTTTAAATGAAAAACTTAATTTGAAGGTAAAAGTCATTAATCCTGACAGATATAGCCTAACAATGCACTTTTTTCTACAAACAGGGGAACCCTGCCTATGAGAAATATTTAAGACCACTATTACAAAGTTCGAGAGCCAAGCTGTGAAATAATCAGCAGCATTCAAGAGGCACCACCATGTGATAATGGCACTATTTAATGGCATATATAGCATTAATGGCATATATAGCATTAAATTTTAAAGTATACTTCATATACACTTTATATATTTCCAAGTATGTATACATTTATATCTTTTTGGTTTTTTCAAGTAAGCTCTACGCCCAACACAGGGCTTGAAATCACGACCCCAAGATCAAGAGTCTGCCGTCTCAGCCAGCTAGGCGCCCAATAAAGTGTGTATTTTTTTAAAGAGAATCATTATCTTTTAGAGACATAGTCTGAAATGAATGAAACATCTGTGATTTACTTTAAGATAATCCATGGGAGGAAAAAAAAGAGCAAATAGTTGAAGATGATCAATGGGTACATGAATGTTTGCACTATTCTCTTTACTTCTGAATATGTTTGAAATAAAAAATAGTAGCACTATCCATTGGTAGTTTCTATTTTGTTAAACACCAGGGTTTTAGGTCTTTAAAAAAAACTCAATGAACTTATTAGTTATCACGTCTATAGCACACATTTATCTGAGGCTTAAAAGCACATAAACAATGTGTGCAAACAAAATCCTCCGAAAGTGCCTAATACTCTAAATAAAATGTAGAGTCCTGAGAATACAACTAAATATCAGTTTTTGAAAATCAACTCTTTCACGGTGAAAACAACTTAAATTTTCCTCAGGGGAGCCTGGGTGGCTCAGTCAGTTAAGCTTCTGACTTTGGCTCAGGTCATGATCTCACAGTTCGTGAGTTCGAGCCCCATGTCAGGCTGTGCTGACAGCTGAGCCTGGAGCCTGCTTGGGATTCTGTGTCTCCCTCTCTCTCTGCCCCTCCCCCACTCACACTCTGTCTCTCTCAAAAATAAACATTAGAAAAAATTTTTAATTTCCCAAAAGAAGATATAATTGTCTCAAATTACCCAAATATAATCAAACTACATTTTTCATGTTGTCCAAGTAAATAAAACAATCAAAATTAAATGCCACCAGACACATAAAATTGCAAAAAATCTCAGCTGGCTACTTTCTCTAATTTATTCATAAAAATAATCATTCAGTTGTTAATAATTAACAAATCTGAGAAATTTTATCAAAAACAAACTTCTCCCCAGTAAAATGGTCACAGAAGAAACCTCGTAAGTTTTAAACTTTTGAAATCCTGGAACAACTAATATTAATCCCATTTCTATATCTATTTTCAATTCAAATCATTGTCTTGCATTTACCTCAGCTAACTCAACAACACATAAGTGGCTGAATATGTTTTTTTAGGTAACCTCTAATCAGTTTGAAGTATGAGACAATTTTCTAAAAAGATAACCTCATCCTAGCACATTTACTGGAACCACAGCAACCTGCCAATAACATGAAGAGATATAGACTGAAGACAGTTTAGCTGAAGATGGTGAAAAAGGGGTAATTATAGGTTTCTGGATGTTGGTCATTTGTCAAATCTTAAAATAAATTTTCAGAGAGACACGGGCAAAAATGGATATAGGTAAGTATTTTCATCCTCTTAGGGACAGAATCTCAGAATGTTCTCATAAAGAGGACGTAAGGAGGACCCTACTCGAGGGCACACAGCCTCAGAACTCCATACTTCCCCTAGAAAATAGGAAAGGGGTGCCTGGGCGGCTCAGTCAGTTGAGCATCTGACTCTTGATTTCAGCTCAGGTCACAATCCTGTGGTTGTGGAATCAAGCCCCGCATTGGGCTC